AAAATTAACATTTAGCAACCACAAGCAGAATAATCCAGGCAAGGATCACCAAAGGATGCTAAAAACTACTGGGTGAAAGGTGGTGGGGGAACAAGATATTCTCAGCCTTGAAGGCCACAGATTACTTACGAAGCTGCAAAGAAGAAAATGTACCTTTCCAATGAAGACATCAGATTAGCCAAGAGATAAACCTTAGCATCATCAAGAATGGGACAGATTTGCATTACTTCTTCCTGATGTGAAGCAATGGGAAAGACACACCATCACCTATGTAGCATTCTTGCCAAGAAAGTTTAATGCTCAAATCATGGGAAAACAATAGAGCAGATCCCAGTTGTGGGGCATTCAGTATGATTGGCCTGGACTCCTAAAAACATCAATATCCTGAAAGACAAAAAAGATGGGGACTCTTCTAGATTAAAAGATAGTAAAAAGCCACAGCATTCAAATGCAATGCATGGTCCTTGATTAAATTCTGCATTGGGAGGAAAAAAAGACTATGAGGGACATTTTGGGGGCAATTGCAGATATTTGAATATGGATTATAAGATAATATTAGATCACCATTAAATTTCTTGGGTGTGATAGTGTTATGATTATTAGGAGCATGTCCTTGTTCTTTGGAGGTACATACTGAAATATTGAGGTGAAATATTATAATTTACTTTCAAATGGTTTAGCAAAAAGACCTTTCTATATATATCTCTTTCCATATACGTATATATCTCTGTCTCTTTATATATTCACACTTCATATATATATATTTGAGACAAGGTCTTATTCTATTGCCTAGGCTGGAGTTCAGTGGCATGATCATAGTTCACTGCAGCCTCAAATTCCTGGGACTCAGGTGATCCTCCCACCTCAGCCTCCCAGCCACCATGCCCAGCTAATTTTTTTTTAATTTTTATTTTTGTAGTATGTGTTTTCGCTATGTTGCCCAGGCTGCTCTTGAACTCCTGGCCTCAAGTGATCTTCACACTTTGGCCTCCCAAAGTGCTGGGATTACAGGCCACTGTGCCCAGCCAGTGCGTGCATGTGTGTGTGTGTGTGTGTGTGTGTGTATGTATATATATATTTTGTTTGGTTGGTTGTTTTGCGACAGAGTCTATTTCTGTCATCCCAGCTAGAGTGCAGTGACATCATAGTAGCTAAGTGCAACCTCAAACTCCTAGGCTCAAGCGATCCTCCTGCCTCAGTCTCCTGAGTAGCTGGGACTGCAGATGTGGATGACCATGCCTAGCTAATTTTTCTATTTTTTGTAGAGAGAGGGTCTCGCTCTTGCTCAGGCTGGTCTCGAACTCCTGAACTCAAGCAATCCTCCTGTCTCAGCCTCCTAGAGTGCTAGGATTACAGGTGTGAGCCACCACACCTGGCCCAGGCTACGTACATTGAGAGAGAGAGAGAGAGAGAGAATAATGTTAATAATTGGTGAATCTAAGCAAAGGGCATATGAGTGTTCACAGTATTATTCTTTCCATTCTGTACACTTGAAAAATTTTCCCAAAAAAGCTGAGGGAGGAATAAGATAGTGCAAATAAAGTGCTTGGCCGGTGGTAAGTGCTCAACAAAAGGGTAGGTCTTACACATGAGTATAAGCCCCATGAGAACTTCTGTTTGTTTGTTTGTTTCTTTCTTTCTTTCCTCCTTGTTTTTGAAATAGGGTCTTGCTCTGTTGCTCAGGCTAGAGTGCAGTGGTGTCATCATAGCTCACAGCAACCTTGAACTCTGGGCCACAAACGATCCTCCTGCCTCAGCTTCCCAAAGTTCTGGGATTACAGGTGTGAGCCGCTCCTGGCCCGTTTCTTTTGTTTAGCACTGTATCCCCAGCACCTATAACAGCACCTGTCATGTAAGCTGGTACTCAACAAATATTTTAAAGACAAATCATTGAGAGCTTGTATGTTAGAAATGTAATGTGAAAAAATGTCATTGTCAAAAATGACATCACAGGATGATGGATGGTCACATGGGACAGCTGTTACTATGGCCTGAATATAACGGTGCCAGTTGCTATGATTAAAATGACTTCTCTATGATTAAAAAAAAATATGATTTAAAAAAAACTTCCCAACTGAGATGAGTTGCAGTTCATTTACAAGAAGTAATATTCTTTGAATAACATCATGATGTTTGGTTAAGCCATTTGGGATTATTGTGGAAAAAAAAAATTAGCCAGTCTGGGAACTTCATTTTTTTCTAGTGCTGACCCAAATTGACATCAACTGGCCTCTTGTGGAGGGTACTGCGCCCTCTGGCGGTGAGAGACATTTAGCTGGTTTCTATGGAAAAGGTCCACAGAACAGAAGTGGAGCGTGCCTTTACACCGAGGTTTCTGGAAACATGTCTCCTTACTTCCTAATCACATGGTGTCCTTATTAACTGAGGTTGAGGTGACTGTTTTTGACCCAGTGAATACCCAGCTTTGGGGAATGCCTGGGCCAGGCTGGACTGAGAAAGGTACAAATTTAGGTAGTTGGGTCAAAGCTGAGTGCCAAGAGAAACCTGGAGGGCCATTTACACTGTAAAATTAGTCAGGATTCTGTGTCCTCATTGTGACAAGGATAAGAATATACACCATCATATCCATCAGGAAGCGCTCTGGGCAGAACCCCAGGCTGTGGATTGTTCAGGTAGGGTTGGCTGCTACCCACATAGCTCACCAATGCCCAGCTTTGAATCCCTGGAAATACCTTTTCTTTTTATTTCTTTTGTTATTAATTGCAAACACATTTATAACACATTTTTTCTTGCCGGGTGCAGTGGCTCACGCCTGTAATCCCAACACTTTGGGAGGCTGAGGTGGGAGGATTGCTTGAGGACAGGAGTTTGAGAGCAGCCTGGACAACATAATAGTACATGCTTTCATTATGTTGCCCAAGCTGGTCTCGAACTCCTGGCCTCAAGTGATCCTCACACCTTGGCCTCCCAAAGTGCTGGGATTACAGGTCACTGTGCCCAGCCTGTGTGTGTGTGTGTGTGTGTGAGTGTGTGTGTGTGTCTCTAAGAGATACTGCTTTATATAAGTAGTCAGGGAAGTCCTGTACTTGGGCAGAGATGTGGTGATGAGAAAGCAAACCATTCAGAGAGCTGCCTGGCATGAGAACTCCAGGCCTAGGGGTCAGTAAAATCTTTGTAAATTCTGGGTATTAACTCTTTCCCAGAATATCACTTGCCTTTTGTGGTTGTCTTGTACAAAAAGGGTTTTCATGTTGTAGAGGTCAATTTTGCTAATCTTTTCCTATTCATGGCTCTAGATTTTATGCTTAAGAAGGCCTTTCCTACCCCCAAATCATAAAAGTATTCTCATATATTCACTTCTGTTATTTTATACTTTGCTTTTTAACAGCTTTATTGAGGTATAATTTACATATCACACAATTAATTTTTAGTAAATGTACAGAGTTCTACCTCCATCACTACAATCTAATTTTAGAACTATGCTTTGATTTTGTTATTTTTAGCTCTTAATATGTCTGAGATTCATTTTAGCTCTTGGTGTGATGTTAAAGACCCTAACATTATTATTTTATTCTTTCCACATTGATTTGAAATATCTCCCTTGACACATGCTAAGATTCCATGTATACATGGATCTGTTCCTGGTCTCCCAATTCCAGGAGTCACAAACAGGGTTTTGTTTGGCTCATGCAGTTTTCAGAATTAGGGAATTTCACATAAAAACCCAGACTTTTGGCTTTTCTGGAAAAACCAGAAGATCCAGTAGCAATCTGCTGGAAGTGAGCAGAGATCACTCCTTTTAGATGGGGCATACGGATGGTAATGGTAATCATAGTCTCAATTTGCCTGGGACAGTCCCTATACACATTTTGTCCCAATGTAATTATTTATTGCCTTTTTTTTTTTTTTTTTTTGAGACAAGGTCTTACTTTGTTGCCTGGGCTAGAGTACAGTGGAGTCATCATAGCTCATTGCAACCTCACACTCCTGGGCTCAAGCAATTCTCCCCATTCTGGAGTAGCTGGGACTACAGGCATGTGCCACAATGCCCAGCTAATTTTTCTATGTTTTGTAGAGACGAGAGTCTTGCTCTTGCTCAGGCTGGTCTCGAACTCAAGCTACCGTCCCGCCTCAGCCTCCTAAAGTGCTAGGATTACAGGCGTGAGCCACCATGCTGGCTCATCCTTTCATTCTTAAAAGTGTTCTGCTTGGGTGATAAATGACAGCCACCTATGACTCACACTTTTCACCATTCCCTATTACATCACACTTAGCACTCCTCTCTATGTTACAAGCCCCCTGCTAGGAAGAGAAAAGGGAAACAGTCAACGCCATCCTACCACAGAATTTTGCCAAAAGAATGAGTACGTGAGCTCACAGTAGGGAAAACATGCTGTCTGGTGGGGAGAAATTAGGACAGAGTTCTGTCCGACATAGAATACAATGTCACATTTACTAATCCCTTTCCCTTCCATTATTTCATTTATCTTCACAACAACCTATCCAGTTTGTTATTGTTTGTTTGTCTGTGTACGGATTTGCTGTAACCTACATTTCGTAGAACAGGGTCTTAGGCCTTTCTGCTCCCTACTGTGACTACTCCTGGCCCCCCTGCCCCCGCCTCCCAAGCTACCTGTTTGGTGTCGGGCGCAGAGCAGTCCCCTAGGCACCGCTGGTTGACTGATCAATCTCCCAGAACTACAGATCAAATGAACTAAGGGGGAACTTTAGGGGCAGAGGATGGAGGTCCGCGGCAAGCCAGGTGCAGAGAAGCAGGCAGGAATCAGACTTCTGGATAGTTGGCTGCATCCTCTCCACAAGGACGGCAAATGAGAGAGTGTGCACGCAGGGACTGGTCTCAGATCTCGGGAGACTTTGTAGAAATGTCCGACCTCAAAGCCAGAAAAACAGGCCGGGCAGAAAACGCAGCATCTTTCCCACCTGCTCCGCTTCAGAGCAGGAATACATTTCCCAGCAGCCCCTGCAGCGCGCACAGCCCCTGCCACGCGGCCTGCGCCACCGCCGTCGGCCCGCTGGGGGCGCTGCGGCGACCCCTCCGCCGCCCCGTAGAAATCTCCGCGGCCCCGGGGCCGCTTGCTTCCTGTTTGTCGGGCGAGGAGACATGGCGGCGGCGGTGCCGGCGGCGGCTGGGTCTGGGGCCAGCCGAGGGAGACGGTCGGCAGCAACAGAAACAGCCTGGGGCGGATGGGGCGGCCGGCCGCGGCCCGGTAACATTTTGCTACAGCTGCGGCAGGGCCAGCTGACCGGCAGGGGCCTGATCCGAGCGGTGCAGGTATGAGGCCGGCCCGGAGGGGCGGGGCGGGGCGGACCAGGCGGGAGATGGCGGGGGCCCGGGGAAGAGGCCTTTCCAGACCGCAGGGCGGGCCAGACTCCTCTTTGCTGCCGCAGGGTCTCCTTGTGAGCTTTCCGGACGCTGTCAGCCGCGGCGGGGCTGTAGGCAGCAACCAGCTGGGGGCCCTCGGTCAAAGGCCGAGCGGGGCTGGGCAGCTGTGGGCATTGATGGCGTGTACCAGCCCTGTGCCCATTTCTGGATCCTCCCTTCCCCGCGCCACGTCTACATGTCTGGAAGACCCTGGCGAGTTTGCTTTAGCTCCTACAGGCCTCGAATTTCTCCCCTATGAATTGGGCGGGGGTCATCATTGCAGCTCCCAAACGGTTCCCAAGCGTGTCATTAATGTCGTTTTCTCAGGCCTTTCCTTGACACTCCCCCTCCCCCTTTCTAAAGTAGGTCCCCGTTGTTACTCTGTCACAGACCCGAACTCGTTTCGTTCCCATTACTTTCTTAGTCTGTAATTCCATATTTCTTTGTTGTCTGCCTTTTTTTCTCGCCTGTCTCCTGCGTTAGCATGAGCTTCAACGGGTGCAGAGACTGTATCTGTTTTGCCAGTGTAGAGCGTCCTGGTTAAGAGTGAGGACTCTGGAGTCAGGCCTGGGTTCGAAGCCCTGCTCTCGCTCGCTCTCTCTTGCTTTGGCAAGTTACCTTTCTGTGCCTCAGTTTCCTCACTTGTCAGATAGAGATGAAAATTAGTACCCTACTTTTTAAGGTTGTGAAGATCAAAAGGGACAATTGTGTAAAGCATGAGTGCATTTCTGGTAAGGGCTGAAGAGTAATCAGTTAATATTGCTGTTATAGTCAGTATCTCGTTTATAAATAAGTGCCCAATATATGATTAATATTTTTTGTTGAATGAGTGATGGACACTGCTTTAGGGTAAAGCAAAGCGGAGAAGACCTACTCTCTTCACTCCTCCACCCTCCCCACCACAAACCTTGCAAACACACCTGTAAAACACTAGCTTTATCTGAAGACAGCTTTTGCGTAAAGAAAGTTTTGAAGGATACATAAGAAACTAATAAAGTGGTTGGTGGGAGTGAGGTGGAAATTGGGCAAAGGGAGGAGAGAATGGGAGTATGACTTTTTGCAATATAACTTTAAATTTAACTTTGACTCATTTAAATATTACTCAAATGACTAAAAGGGTAGAATAAAATAAAGATTAGATGGTCTGTGTGTATGGAGGGTTGCAGATGAAGGAGCAGTTCTGAGTGTGCAATATTTTCCTGGACATCAGACAACCCTAGTTGAGCGACCTTTTTCCCCCTTGTGTTCTTTTCTAGCTACCTTAAGAAGATCTTGGAAATACTTGCTTTTTCTTTCTTTAAGCTAAAATACCTTACTGACCTGGGTGTATAGGGACAGGCAGAAAGGGAACTAACTAACCTTTAATGGGCACATACTTTGGATCAAGCATGGTGCAAGGTATACAATGTCTGTATTTAATCTTCAATCTTTTGAGTTAGGGGTCAGGAGTTCATCTTTTAACAAATGAAGAAACTAAAGCTCTGAAAGGCTAGGTGATACGTTCCTAAACACCCATCCTGATTATCTGTGTTCCAAGAGCAATAGGGAGCCACAGAAGTTCTTTAGTATGAGGAATGAAGCAATAGGAAACTTAATTTTTTTCCAGTGCTGAATGACTTAGAATGGGAGGAGCCTGGAAAAGCTCACGAGATAGAAGGCTACTGGGAACATTCTTGAGCCTAGTTTAGGCAAGTTATTGTGGTAATAATAATTGTGTACAGGTGTAGGAGCTATTTCAGAGGTTGAGATAGGGACACCTGCCCAGAGCTACAGTGAGGATAAAGAGAGAAGCTTCATCTTCCGAATATTTCCTTAGTAATTTTCTTTGATCTATTCCTTGCCAAGCCCTCCCTCTCCTACCTTGCAGAATAAATTATTTGCTTACCCATATTTTCAAAGCATGTAAGTACATCCATTATGGCATGTGATATAGTAGGAAAAGACCATATTTTTTAAAAATTTAATTGTGATAAAAAATTATGTGACAAAATTTACCATCTTAATCATTTATAATTGTATAGTTTGGTAGCGTGAAGTATATTCTACATTGTTGTGAAACAGATTTTCAGAACTTTTTCATTTTGCAAATACGACGAAACTCTCTAGCCATTGAACAATTGCTGGTTTCTCCCTCCCCCAGCTCCTGGTAACCACCCTTCTACTTTCTGTTTCTATGAGTTTGACTAGTTTAGATAACCTCAAATAAGTGGAATTATACAGTATTTGCCTTCTCGTGACTGGCTTATTTCACTTAGCACAATGTCTTCAAAGTTCTGTGTTGTAGCATGTGATGGAATTTCCTTGGAAAAGACAAGATTTTAAAGTAAGGTGGACCTGAGTTGAATTCTTGTTCTGTCACTTACTCGCTGAGTGACTTAGGTTAAGTACTTAACCTCTCTCAGCCTCAGTTTTGTTATTTCTAAAGTGGTGATAATAACATCTGTCTCATAAGGCTGTTAGTACGTGAAATATTATGTGTAAAAAGCTTAGCCAGGGTGGCACATGGTAGATGTTTAGTAAATAGTTGCTCTCAGTTAGTAGCTATTAGACTAGGCTTCTTGAAGGGACTGTGTCTTATTTTTCTTTGTATCTGCAGAGCCTGAAACCATGCCAGGCACTTGATACTCAGGACTGGGGAAATTGTTTGAAGTGAAACACTGTCTCCTCGGTTCTATCTCTCTACTCCCCAAGCAGTCCCTGGCTTTAAAGAGTTCCAGAGTCAGATTATCTAGGTTTGAAACCTGGCTCTGTAGGTACTTGCTGTGTGTCTCTAGGCAAGTTATGTAATCTCTTTATGTCTCAGTTTCTTCATTTATAAAATAAATATAATTATAGTACCTAACCTCCTAAGGTTGTGGTGAGGACCAAGTGAGTTTATACATGTAAAGAAAGAATTTAAAATAGTGACCAAAATGTAGTAAGCATGCTCTAAAGGGTAGCTTTTATTGCTATTAATAATTGCTTTATATTCTGATGGATCCCGAGTTCCTATTTCCATTCCTATTTTCTTCCTTTAGCTCCAGAGGCGTATGTATATCCAACTGCCCTCTCACTGTTTCCATGCTGATGTCTAATGGGCATCTCAAACTTAATATGTTGAAAACCAAAATCATGATTCCTCTTCCACCAAACCTGATCTTCCCCCAGTCTTCCTTATCTCCCTAAATGGGACATAAGGGAAACCTGGGAGATGACTACTGGCCACACGATTTAGAATGGGCCTATTTTTCTTGGATTTTAGTTTGCGTTATTTTCTTCCTTCCCTTTCATTTCTCTGTCGAGGTAATAAAATACATTGGTATGATGCTTTAGGGTTTACCGAACCCTTTACTTTCATCAGCACATTTGATCCTTAGAGCAAATCAGATTTTATAAATCCCTGGCTTAAAACTCTCCAGCTTCATCAAGTTGCAGTTAAAATCAAATCTGGATTCCTTACCATGGACCCTGCATGATCAGTAGGAGTTGAGGGAAGGGATGGACTAAGTAAACCCTGGGCTCTATGGCAGTGCAACTCACACTACAGGTCATGACCCACCATCCCTAGATTCCCTTCAGTTTGGCAGTCTGGTGACAGGCTGGGTTATGGGATCCCCTTTCCGTTTCCCAGATGCCAGCGCTTGCTTCCTTTATGATTATTGGCCTATCTAAATTGACCTGAATGTTATTTACTACATATTTCTTCTTTAGATTGACTGACTCACTTAAATTTCAGTAGGCACTAGTTTTAGCCTCATTTTAAGCATTAGTATTTGTGAAACCTGAGGATTTAAAGTCATCTTCCCTTGCCTGTCAAGGGTAATTTGATACTGAAAAACCTCTGGATAGGATAAATTCTCATAAATTTATAAATACCATTAATTTCAACAGGATGTTTTTGTATTCACAAGCCCTGAAATTCACTTCTAATTATATTGAAGCAACACAGACCCCATTAAAGCTAACACAGGTATTCAGTGGTTAACACTTGTTGTCAGAATAACCTAACAAAATATTTAATCTTCATTAATTGTCCTTTAAGATGTCTATTTACTTGCACTTAGTATGATATTTTGAGGCATTACATATCTTACACTTAGCCTTAAACAAATTATACATTTATCTTTATGGAGTTCAGCCTTTAATTACTTGAAAAGCAAAGACAAAAATGAAAACTGTAAATGTCTAGAAATGTCATATTCACTGTGATTGTGGTGGACAGCTTAGAGGCATGATGTAAGAGATTATTACTGCTATAAACTGTCAAACCCCAAGTACTCCAGTAGAAAACCCATATGATACCTGCCAGTAATTAAACTGTGAGGATGACTGGATGGTGGCTCTTTCATCACAGTGTTCAGCTGTTCACAAGGAAAACAAAATCCAAATGATGATTTTTTATTTTAATTTTTCGTTTTTAATTTTTTTTTTTTTTTTGACAGAGTCTCACTCTGTTGCCTGGGGTAGAGTGCAGTGGCGTGATCATAGCGCAGTGCAGCCTTGAACTCCTGGGCTCAAGCGATCCTCCTGCCTCAGCCTCCCAAAGTACTAGGACTACAGGCACAAGAGCTAATTCTACCTTATTCATCTCCACCATTCTCCCAATGTAGTGATATCACAGTTTTGGCTGTTGGTGTTAAGTATTTACATTATGATGGTATAATTATTGTTTACAGCAGAGTATATATAGTATATAACACATAACTATATATAGTTATGTGTTATATATAACAATAGTTATATATAGTATAGAACGATTATATTTGGTTTATATATTTTGTTCTTCATCGTGTTAAAAGCAGTTCTTTTCCATCTTTTTAAAAATTGAATTATAAATATACACATAGTAAAATTTACACTTTTTGATGTATAGTTCTGAGTTTTCACAAATGCATGTAGTTGTGTGATCACTAACTAGGATTTAGAAAATT